CTTCCTTCCTCTCCTCTTCTCCTTCCCTTTCCCCATCCATTTATTTCCTCTCCTCTCCTCTTCCCCTTCCCCATCCATTTATTTCCTCTTCTCTTCCCCTCTTCTCCCCTTCCCCATCCATTTACTTCCTCTCCTCTCCTCTGTTTTGCAATTGTGGGTGTTAAGCGATTACTATCTGTATGCCAGTCAGCATATGGAAACTCAAATCTAGAAATACCCAGCTAAATCTCCTGTGATTATTTGAAGTTTATCAGCGCCTTGTTGACTTTTGATCATTTATTATTGATTATCAAGTTTCTGGAGAAAGCATGAAAGGAATCATACGGTGTTTATACAGGTCCATTTTTTACCCCCTTGCCTAAACCATTGTTACATATTTATTTCCGCGAAGAATAGTTTAAAAAAACATATTAAGAAGCGAGATAGTCCTGCCCTCTGCAGAACTTGGAATTGATTTATTGAATGCAAAGTTTGCCCTCTGGAGATGATAAACCTTACCTGTAGCTTTAGATAAGGTCTGCAAGAAACACACCCTGCTCTTTTAGTAAATACCCACAATGTTCCTTGTGAAACAAATGCGTGAGAAAGAATAATAAACTATTTAGTGTGGACTTTCTCTCTCAGATCAAGTTCACTTCCTGGTGAATTCAGGGCTACATCTATGTGGTTTTCTTGACAACACTATAGGAGTGGTTGGTCACATACTTGGTACAATTTTTCACTTTCTGCATTTGAGCAGATCAAACCAGTTTAGTATTTCAAGATCAAGATCAGCTAGATATATAGACATAGCCGTATATTATATTGCGATGCTTGCCTTAATTAACGCAGTGTTTGAATATCCAGAAAACAGCAAGAGAGTCTAGTAAGTAATAAAACAGAATGAGAATGTTCTAACAAAGAAACAGACAGGTGGACCTTCTGGAAAATGTATGCCATAATTCTGGTTTCTCATCGTGAATATTCTGGTGCATCGGGGAGCAGATTCAACTGCCTTGTAAAGTAGGGTCTTCTTCGAAGAAAGAAGGGAACATAATCCATAGATATATATTAAAGAACATTGAGACTTTAAACAGTCTGGGAACAGAGTTCTTGAGTTTTTTAGTATGGAATTAGGAGCATGTTCAAAAACTTCATAGCTGTTGTTTTTGCACAGGTTCATGTAGAATCACACAACTCTGGTATTAACACAGATATCAGTATTAACCACAAACCTCGCTCCCTCCCCCCCCCCCCCTCCTCCTCTCTCTCTCCTCTCTCCCTCTTCTTCTCCCTCTCCCTCTCCTCTCTCCTTCTCCCTCTCCTTCTCCCTCTCCTCCTCCCTCCCTCTCCTCTCTCCCTCTCCTCCCCTCCTCTCTCTCCTCTCCCCCTCCATTCCCCTCCTCTCCTTGATAACTTGAGGGAGAGATTGGGATAACATATGGAAGGTGAACACTTGACTTCTACAGCTAGAAGTGATCCCTTGCTCTTTCTGCACCGTGATGGCACCTTGGAATGTTCCTTTCTCCACCTCAGTTCATGGATCGTCTGAAGCTGCTCCTGATGCCTCTGAAGCACCAGCCTGACTTTATCTACCTGCGGCATGTCCCCCTCCGCCGAGTCCACCTCTTCACCTTCCTTCAAGCCTTGTGCTTGGCTCTCCTTTGGGTCTTGAAGTCTACAGTAGCTGCTATCATATTCCCTGTCATGGTAAGTAGAAATGTTCACACCGATATTCTTTTGCCTCTTTTGGAGCTATCAGATGTTGCGTCTTACCGTTATCCTATCCAATATATTGACAGGAACTGGTAATTTTCTTTAAACTTTAGAAATCAAAACCCATTAAGGATTATCTGGACAATCTAAGCTTGTTTGAGGCCTCAAATCAGTCTCCAAGATTTTGTTTACAGTGGCCCTCTCTTTTATGGGTTTTGTAAGGGACGCGGTGGCTCACCGGCTAAGACGCTGAGCTTGTTGATCAGAAAGGCCAGCAGTATTATGGCTTTGATTCGATGCCTCTGTTTATACAACCAAAGGATTGTATTGGCTTTTTTGGCTGCTGCCACACACAGCTGGCTCATATTCAAGTGATCATCCACTAGGACTCCAAGGTCTTTCTCACAGTTGCTATTTTTTCTCAGACAGGTAGTCCATAACCCACAATCATAATTGGGACAGAATTTTATTGAGGGTTTTGCAGCATTAATTCAGTGCCAGAAAAATAAACACAGATGGCTGATGCTTCATTTAACATCTTTATAAACCTAAGCAGATTTTACAAACCAGTTGTAGATGTCTCCAACATGGGGCAAACTCCAACAGAAACATGTTGCAAGTTCAGAGCAGAGTTTCAGTCTTCAACAAGCAAGCAAGTTAGTGTCATCTTCAATAGACAGACTCAGAGCTTCAACATAGCTGCACACCTAATATAGCTTCTTCACACCTAGGCTATATTTAATTTCAGTTTCCAGCCTAGGCTACTTCTAGTTTCAGTTTCCAAACAGTTCTCATTGGCTGATTTAGTTGCTATGCTTATTAATTGGCTGACCTTGTTATCAAGCTCTATTCCAGTTCATGAATATACTCTGACAAATTTTTATTCCTAAGTAAGGGGTTTTTAAGTGAATCACAATCGAGTTTATGACCCTTTTTTGCCACAGTTATTAAGTAAACACATGCTGGATCAGGTGTGGCAAATAAAGTACAGGTAGCCTTCGATGTACGACCATAATTGAGCCCAAAATTAATGTCGTTGAGTGAGAATTTTGTTAAATGAGTTTCCCCCACTCCATTTTTATGTCCTTTCTTGACAGTTAAGTGAATCACCGCAGTTTTTAAGTTAATAACATGGTTGCTAAGTGAATCTGGCTTCCCCGTTGACTTTGCTTGTCAGGAGGTCACAAAAGGAGATCACATGACCCTAGGACACTGCAACTGTCATAAGTATGAGTCAGTTGCCAAGGGTCTGAATTTTGATCACACGACCAACAGTCGTAAGTGTGAAAAACAGTCATGAGTTACTGTAACTTTGGGCAATCTCTGACTGAACTGTTGTAAGTTGAGGACTACCTGTAGAAGCTTAGACGATTGAAGTTGAAAATACCTCCATGCCAATGAGGGAATGTTGAATTTTGTCTTGACAGATCCTCGCCCTTGTGGCAGTCAGGAAGGGGATGGATTATCTCTTCTCCCAGCATGACCTCAGTTTCCTTGACGACGTCATTCCAGAAAAAGACAAGAAGAAGAAAGAAGATGAAAAGAAGAAGAAGAAAAAGAAAGGCAGCCTGGACAGCGACAACGACGACGTAAGCATGTCTGCTCTTTTAAAATAAAAGGGGACAACTTTACCTTGACTAGTTTGTAAGAGCCGAGAAGGACCAGAACTGCGGGAAGCTGTGGAGATTCTCCGTCATCCGTCCCAAAGGGGCTTTTTTTTTTCAAAAGACAACTGGACTTTCTTGTTTGTCCTTTTGACGACGTTTCTCTTCTCATCCAAGAAGCTTCTTCATCTCTGACTGGATGGTGGGGAATGGAAGGATTTATATTCCTTGCAGACAGCTGGTCATTTGCATCCTTTTAGAGGGTCGTTGAGGCCACTTGGAGATTTACCTGTGTCCTTGGGATCACCTGAGTAGTGCAAATGGTTCTTGTAGTCTGCAATTTTTTTTTTTCCTTTTGGAAATCTCTTCCTACTCCCACACCATTCAAAGGCTGTTCATCCCAAATTGCATAGCTCAAAGTCTGTGGAGATTCTCAGTCATCCAGGTCATGGTTGTCGCAAAGGTGCTTTTTCCAAGAGGCAACTGGACTTTCTTGTTTTTTCCTTGAAGACATTTCACTTCTCCTCCAAGAAGCTTCTTCTCCTCTGACTGGATGGTGGGGAATGGAAGGCTTTATATTCCTTGCAGACAGCTGGTCATTTGCATCCTTTTAGAGGGTCGTTGAGGCCGCTTGGAGGTTTATCTGTGTCCTCGGGGTCACCTGAGCAATGCTCCTGGTTCCTGTAGCCTGCAATTTTTGCCTCTGGAAATCCCTTCCTACTCCCCCACTATTCAAAAGGGTGTTCATCCCAAATTGCATTGCTAAAAGTCTGTAGAGATTCTCAGTCCCAAAGGTGCTTTTTCAAGAGGCACCTGAACTTTCTTGTTTTTCTTTTGAAGATATTTTTGCTTCTCATCCAAGGAGCTTCTTCAGCTCTAATAGGACGGTGGGGGAACGGAAGGATTTATATTCCTTGCAGACAGCTGGTCATTTGCATCCTTTTAGTGCAGGGGTGTCAAACTCAAGGCTCGCGGGCCAGATCCGCCCCATGTGGTGCTTAGAGCTGGCCCATGGAGCCAGCCTGCAAACAGTGAAGGACCCGCCCGTGGTGCCTCTGCCAGTGAAAATGAACCTAGTGTGTCTTGCGAAAATGCAAAACCCCAAACTCCCCTCAGACTTACCAAAACCGACAACAGGAAAGTCTCACTGAGCAACATAAATTTGGGCCTCCATTAATGGCCGTAAGTCGAGAACTACCTGAGTAGGAAATGCTAAAATTTCCGACGTGGAGAAAGTATCCTTTATTGGTCCTTAACTCTGGTCTGAAGCAAGGAAATGAAAATAAATGATGCGAAATAAGATCGTGAAACAATTGAACTGTTTTCTTTGTAGTCTGACTGTCCCTTCACGGAAAACGTGCCCAGTATTAAAATCCCGATGGACATCATGGAGCAGCAACCTTTCTTGAATGATGGGAAGGCTACTGAGAGTGAGTAGCACTGATTTCTTGCATGACTTCCTTTACACGGAACTGAACAGGAGATGGATAGACATCCTTATATGTCTGCATGGCCATAAAATATCCATGTATATTTTTGTTTGTTTGTTTAAAAAAATCTTGTTTTGTAGAGGTTGTTTTCCTCCTATTTCTGTCTTTCTTTCTGCACCCGACCTGTGGAATTTTAGTTTGACTTTCAAAGAATGTGTTTGCTTTGAAGCACTTAGACCAGTTGGGGTGTTTGACCTCTTCCCTCCCTCCCTCCCTCGCTGAGATTCTGGCTTTAGTTGCTTGGAGGCAGCTACTAAATGGGCAGTAACTAGTGCTTCCCTAGCTCAGTTCTCTTTTAAGCTTTCAACTCATCCAGCCTGTGGATTTGCATGCTTTCTTTTCCCCTGGAGTTTTATACTTCTGCTATCTAATCTTCTCATTTGCGGCATATAGAAAACATTCTGTTTGCAAAGAGGATCACTGATTATTTAGAAAATATCTTGATAATGGCAAATTAATATAGTTGATTAGAGCCTCTCTCTCTGGCCCCTTAGAAGAGTGTTTCAGCCCTCAGATTACCTGGTAACCTGTCTCTCAATTCTTCCTCTTTCTTTCTTTCTTTCTTTCTTTCTTTCTTTCTTTCTTTCTTTCTTTCTTTCTTTCTTTCTTTCTTTCTTTCTTTCTTTCTTTCTTTCTGAAGCAGTATTTGCTGTGTGAGCAAGAAGGAGACAGCAAGGAGCCTGAGCGTGGCTTAGCTCAACTGTTCTGTACTAAAACTGGTTGCTGCTGTGCAACTAAAACTGAAACTCCTCTGCTTGTGTTTTGCATTTGGAAGAGATTTATTTTCAGGTGGGGAGGGGGAACTCCTCAGCATCAGAGCATGTTAATAATAATATATGAAATACTAATGCTCTGATGGTCATGTCGAAAAATCCTTTCTTAGTGAGCACCTAGAAACCAAGAGGAATATATATGGCGAATTTCAAGTTTGTAAGCTTTACAGTTCTGGAGATTTTGTGATGATGCAAGAGTGGTATTTCACTTTTATATATATAGTTTAATTAATAACCAGACCAGAAAAATAACAACATGTTTTATTTCAGTCATGTGAATTTCTTCATATAGAAAAAAAGGATTGGTCTTTCTAAGTAAAATGTTCGTTTTTTTTCCAATAACACAGAAGAAAAAGCAACATTCCTTGAGCGCCATACATCATGCTGATCAAATTCCTCACTTCCATTCCTACATGCCAAGGTAAGTCTCTTTATGTCTTTCTAAATTTTACACACACACACACACACACATGCGCACACACACGCACACAAACCCCAAATGAAAACACCAGGATATCTGTTTCAAACAGCTTTCATCCAGAATGATGCCTTCAATAAATTAGGCGTAAACTTCACGGAATTTCTCACCGGCTTAAAATTTCTTGTGAAATTTATTGCGTTTGACAGGTAGTCCTCGACTTAACGACCCCCATTGAGCCCAAAACACCCGTGGCTAAGCGAGACCATTGTTAAGTGAGCTTTGCTCCATTTTACGGCCTTTCTTGCCACAGATGTTATAAGTGAATTGCTGCCATCGTTAAGTGAGCAGCACGGTCGGTCAGTGAATCTGGCTTCCCCCTGGACTTTGCTGGCCAGAAGGTCGCAAAAGTAGAGGGGGGTCACACCTGACCCCGGGACACTGCAACTGTCATAAGTTCATGTCAGTTGCCCAATGTCTGGATTTTGATTCAGATGGGACTATGCAGATGCTGCAATGGTTGTTGTAAGTGTGGAAAACGGTCATTAAGACACTTTTTTTCAGTGCTGTTGTTTCGAACAGTCAATAAACAAATGGTTATAAGTTGAGGACTATCTGTATTTTTGCCCTCCTTGCGCTTTGGAGGCTTTCCTCGAGCCTCCGGGAGGGCGAAAACAGCCTCCACGGGCTCCGGAGGCTCTCTTGAAGCCAGGAATGGGCCTATTTCTGGCCTTCCTGAACTTCCGGGAGTCAGACTTTTACAGTTGTTTCAGTTTTAAACTTGGGGCTAGCCTACGCTGTGCCAGAATGTGGCTAAATTTGGCTAGCCCCAAATTTAAAACAGAAACGGCTGTGAAAGTCTGACTCACAGACGAACTTACATGTATGGCATTCAGCTTTGTTCAGGTATTTTCCCACGTCATTGTAGTTGTGCTTTTAAAGTGAAAACTGAAACGCCGCAACAACTTTAAAAGCACAACTACAATGACGTGGGAAAATACCCGAACAAATATATATATATATATATATGTTTGTTTTCTTACATTTCACGGGTATTTATATGTATGGTATTTAGGTTTCTTCAGGTATTTTCCCACGTCTTAATAGTTGTGCTTTTATTATAGCGACATTTCGGCAGAATCTCATCTGCCATCCTCAGGCTTGTGTATTGGGTTCTTTTTAACCTTGTGTGTCAGGCTTGGCAATCCAATACACAAGTCTGAGGATGGCAGATGAGATTCTGCCGAAATGTCGCTATAATAAAAGCATAAATATTAAGACGTGGGAAAATACCCGAAGAAACCTAAATACCATACATACATACATACATACATACATATAAAATTTATGTATGTACGTATGTGTTTGTTTGTTTATTTACCTACCTACCTACCTACCTACCTACCTACCTACCTACCGGGCCTGATCACTGAGGGGGATAAAAGGAAATACCTTGAACTTTGGAGTGAACTGGTTCACTGCCAGCTGATCTTTGGAGCTACCGGTTTGCTCGAACTGGGCTGAACTGTGCAGAATCTTATCTAGGGGCTCTCCTGAACCCCTGCGAACCCCCCAGCATCCCACCCCTGGTTGTCCCTAAGGCGTTTTTTTCAGGAGGCAATGGGACTTTCTTCTTTTTTTTCGGAAGGTGTTTCGCTTCTCATCTTGAATCATCTTGGATGAGAAGCAAAATGTCTTCGAAAGAAAAAAAAAGAAAGAAGGAAGGAAGGAAGGAAGGAAGGAAGGAAGGAAGGAAGGAAGGAAGGAAGGAAGGAAGGAAGGAAGGAAGGAAGGAAGGAAGGAAAGAAAAAGAAAGGAAGGAAGGAAGGAAGGAAGGAAGGAAGGAAGGAAGAAAATCCAGTTGCCTCCTGAAAAAGCACTTTGGGGACGGGCTCTCTTATTGTGACCTCCAAAGAGTCCAAAGGCTATGCAAGACCTCATCTCCTTCTCACATGGTCTCCACAGCCTCATCAGAACAAGGTGGTCTTTCAAGGAGAGTTGTCAAGTATTGGCCAACGCTGGTGGGTCACCCAAAACATCACGTCACGCGTGTCCTAGGTGTTCCCCATCACTGGCTCCCGGAGTCCTATTGTGCTGCCTTTCACGGAGGTGTATAATCTCTTCATGACAATTGTGTGGTTTTTCCTTCTAGGCCTCTGAAAAATCCTGACGGATGTTGTGCCTCAGATTAGAATAGAGCTCAGCCCTGAAGACCATGCCTACTTTCGGAATAGCAAGGGAACAGAACACACTTTCTTTCACAACTGCGTCTTCATCCTTTATGGCAGGAGCTTTCCTCAAAAACCTGCGACACTTTAAGACTTGTGGACTTCAACTCCCAGAGTTGAAGTCCACAAGTCTTAAAAAGTGGCCAGGTTTGGGGAAGACCACTCCTGCTTTATTGAACTGGATTTTCTTCGTTGTCTTCTCTAGTCGATTGTTCAGTTGCTGTTATCTATCTAGATTTTTTTTTAAAAAACCCTACGTGTATCCCTCTTCCTTTAGATTTTATTCTATTTCTTCTCTTCCTTGCTTCAATCCATTGTGTGTTTTTCATCGCAAATGATTTCTCTTCCCTTTCATTTCTGACCAATTCTTCTTTTCCCTGCCTTTTCAATATATGCGCCTCCCTCTGTTGCTTTTCAGAAGTGGGTGCAAGTATTAAGGATATATTATTGCAACGTGGTTTGCTGTCTGAAAAAAAAACCAGACTGTTTCCCATCCTTCTGCTCTTTGGGAGCATTTGTCGATATTAAGATTGTTGGGTTTTTGGGGTTTTTTAAAAATCTTTCTTTCTCTCTAAGCAGAACAAAACTGACTTTCAGGCAAATTCCTGATAATTCTCGATTCCTGCAAAAAAACAAAAATGCTGCTATCTTATAACATGCTCTTAATGTCACCTCTGCTTCTGTATTTTGGTGCAAAGCAATCGGAAAGATGCAAGCCCACACAGATGCATTTCTTTTTTTCCCTGCCATTACTACGTGAGATTTGTATAACCCGCTCCTATGCAACTTTTATTCCGTAACACTGAAATGGATTCTTAAGCTGTCGGCTGTGTTGACAAAGTGTTGTCTGTTTTAAATTATGGGGGTCCTAATCTGTAACATTTTCTGGGGTAGGGAGGGGTGGGGTGAGAATGGTCGATTTTTAAACATTTTTTTAAAACTTAGTGTAAAAAAAAATGACTTTTTTTTTTCCTGCAGCAGGAAATATTAGTTTTGAGTAGTTCTACCTCTCGTTTCTAGATTTGGGCCTTTTCTTTAAAAAAATAAAAAATAAAAATAAAATAAAGAAAATGTTTTAATAATAGTAGTAGTAATAATAATAATAATAATAATTGAATAATATATTATATAATGTGATTTTTACAAAAAGAACAAAAAAAAACCCACACCAAAAATACAAGCTCAAGGGTATATACCTGTGTTTTTTTCAAATTTGGCGACTTTAAGAGGTATGGATTTCAACTCCCAGAATTCCATGCAGGCTGGGGAATTCTGGGACTTGAAGTCCCCGCATTGTAAAGTGGCTGAGTTTGAAAAAGAGGGCTAAATAGCATAGAACTTAAATCAGCTGTATCAATACTTTTGTTAATCGTCTTTCTTTCCTTTCCATTTCTTCTTTCCTTTTAACCATCAGGATGCTTGTTCAAAATACTCAATTTTTTTTTCCCCAGCTGGTATCTGTTCAAAAGCGAGTGGAACAATCTGCTGAGCCCCTTTCCTGTTTCTGCAGTGCCTGTCTTGATCGCACAGAGATTTTTTTACACACACCCAGGGGCGGGATTCAAAAATCCCAGCAACCGGTTCGCTGCCCAGCTCCCACAACTTCCAAAGGCAACTTCTATTCCAAGGATTGATTGCTCTCACCATCAGAATTTTTCCCCTTATTTCTAGGTTGAATCTCTCCTTGATCAATTTCCATCCATTATTCCTTTAGTCTGGCCTTCGGGGGCTTTGGGAAATAGCTTAACCCCCACCCCTCTGTGGCAGCTCCTCAAATATTGGAAGACTGCTATCCTGTCTCCCCTGGTCCTTCTCTTCACTAGACTAGCCAAGCCCAGTTCCTGCAACTGTTCATGATATGTTTTAGTCTCCAGTCCTCTAATCATCCTGGTTGCTCTTCTCTGGACTCATTCTAGAGTCTCAACATCTTTTTCACAGAGTGGTGACCAAATCTGGATGCAGTACTCTAGGTGTGGTCTTACTAAGGCTTTATAGAGTGGTATTAGTACCTCCCTTGATCTTGATTGTATCCCTCTGCTCTGTTAATGCAGTTTAGGAGAGCATTGGCTTTTTTGGCTGCCACTGCACACTGCTGGCTCATATTTAGCTGGGGGATTTCTGGGAGGTGAGGTCCACACTTCTTAAAAGTTCCTAAGGTTGAAGAACTCCCCTCTAATTCCTATGACAGAATTAGAATGGAAGAAGTAAAATAATGAGAAACTGGTTTAATGGCCTGCAGGGAAATTAAAGATCTCAAACTAGAATCCAAACAAATTCCTTCTGGCGGGGATAACTTCCATGGAATCACCTCAGGTGAGTTTTCAGGTAATGGGAGACATTTGGTACCTCAGCTGAGGTACCAAACCATGGCTTGGGTGGTTTTTTGGGGGCTCCGTAAATTGTGAGAACCCAGCTATTGTAAGTTGTAAAGCGGTCTACGGCTTAGTGCATGGATGTAAATAGTAAGGTGCTTACAGGTTGTGGTTTAGTCAAATCACGGTTACATGAATAATGGCTTTGTATGAATGCGGTGATAACAACCCACAAATACTTAGGAATTGGAGCTTTGAAGTAGGGGACCTTTTGGCACAGGAACAATATTAGGGGGAAAATGGCATCGGAAAAAAATGGCAATATTAGGAAAAAAAGATTGCTTTTTATCGGTTCAGCAGAATTTAGGATTGTATCAGTTCAGCTTATTGTCACTGCCAGCAAATTGGTATTTGAGTCAACGTACAATTGCTAAGTCGCTGGATTAAATTTCTAATGTGTGGGAGAACAAATTCTGGTAGCTATTCACCCAATTGGGCTTTGGAAAATCCATCCTTGAGTGGCATGGCCATTAAATGAGGCTTCAAGCGACACCCTCACACACCTGATTTTACTGCCTTGTTGGCTAAAGTCATTAAGTGAGACATCACATGATCCTTTCTTGTGACCTTCCCTGCTGGGTTCTTGTTATAAAAATAATCCAGTAAAGGAAAGACGCAGACAAACCACAGCCAATAAATCTTACTTTGAGATCAGATGTTTATTTCATGAGCAATTTGGAACATGAAAAGCCATCATAACACAACTTGGCCCCTTGCAATGAGGTCCAGAGACAGTTGCTAACTCCAGAAAGGATAGCTACTATCAGTGGCCCTGATTTGAGATTTACCCCCTTCTTTTACACCCTTTTTCTTCTGAAGCCCACCCAGTGGTATGTAATCTTACTTCCGTACGAACTACTTCGTACTTCTCGGTTCCCTCATACTGTCCATCACTTAATACCCACTTGTAGGTAGATGCCAACTCGCTTACCATCTGCTACTTTCAGTCCCCCTTTTTTTCAATGACCCAGACATTCCTGATCCAAAACAGTTCTACTTTTGATTGTCCAGCAAATGTATGCTTTTTGCAGAAGTAGCAGATAGCAAACACATTGCTATGCCCGCAAATTCAGCTAGCAGATTGCAAATACGTCGCCATGCTTGTGAAATCACCTGAGTGAGTCGGCGTTGTTATATATTGTTAATTTTGAGGCCTTCAATTAAGCTGAGGCCTACACCAAACTTTAGGGCCTAGTTGTCCTTTTCTCACAGTTCCCCTTGGACTTTAGCCATCAGGAGATGGCTAGGAAAGTCGCACTTGGTGGTCGTGTGAACACGGGACACTGCGACCGCCATAAACGAGTGATCATGTGATTACCAAAGGCCCACATCATGATCACGTGGCCGTGGGGGACACTGGCACGACCACGGGTGCAAAAGACCAGTGCGCAAGCTGTTGTAACTTCGAACAGCCGCTAAACAAAATGGTCGTAAGTTCAAAGACTTGTCGTACTTTTATTACCTGGCTATACCTCGGAGCACCCTGCTGCTAAAATTAAACGTTGAGAAGCACAAAAGGAAGGAAGTGTAGAATTTTGGAAAGGAGCCGTGATGTTTTTCAGCAGTAATGTAAAAAAACTCTGGGCTTTTGCAAACGTCCCCAAATGTGCGCAGAGGCAAATTAACTTGTTGAAGTCTTCAATCTTCCTCTCCTAAATTATAGGAAATGTACTTGAATTCCCTTTGGTAACTAATTCTCATTGAACAAAACTTGTATTGTTATTGTTGTTTTTGCACTAAGTCTGGCATTGTTGATAGCAAGAAGAATAAACACCCCTTGTTGGGTTCTTCTTCCCAGGGGCCTCCAACCTTGGCAACTTTAAGCCTGGTGGACTTCAACTCCCAGAATTCCCCAGCCAGCAAAGCTGCTTCTTACTGTTTAAATTTAGGGAAAGGAAATAGAGACAGAGAAGTGTCTCGTTTTATGAGTTCCAGGTACTAGGAGCACTTAAACTGCACAATTTTATTTTATTTATTTTGTGTTTAAATGGCTGGCCGCATTGACCTTGCACTTAAAATGGTCTTTCTAAGGCCCGTTGAATTGGCACAGCGTCCTGCCACAAAAGGAAGCACAGTTAGTCCTCAAACTGTCAATCGCAATTGAGCCGAAAAATTTCTGTCGCTAAGCGAGTTGGTTCGTCAATAAAGTTTGGTCCCATTTTTAACCTGCCACCGTTGTTCAGAAAATCACTGCCATTGTGAAACTAGTAACACGATTGTGTTAAGTGACCTCTGGCTTCCCCACTGACTCTGCTTTGTCAGCAAAAGGGGATCGCCCTGCAGCCGTCATAAATACGAACCGGTTGGCAAGCATCTGAATTTTGATCACATGGCCGCGGGGGTTGCTAAAACAGTTGTAAGTGTGAAAAACCGGTCATAAGTCCCTTTGTTCACGAGTCAGTTTGCCGCTGTCACTAGGAAGGGTCATTAAACAAACAGTTGTAAGTGGAGGACTACCTGTATTCTTGTTTATGGAGATCCTCAGTCATCCAGGGTTGTCCCAAAGGTGTGCAAAGTGTGTGCACGCATGCAAAGTGCACCCACCAAGCCACGGCCACCGAACCGGTGGTTAAAACTTTTTGAATCCCAAGCACTGGATAGGATTACTATTGGCCGCTTGCAGTGCTTGGAATTAAAAAAAAAACAATTTGAGGGGTGAGTGAGGAGCCAATGAACAAATCCCAAATCAGTTGCTGTGTTCAGATCATTGTTTCCC